TGTTTGTGTGTTTGTGTGTTTGTGTTTAGTGTTTGTGTGTTTGTGTGTTTGTGTGTTTGTGTTGTTTGTGTGTTTGTGTGTTTGTGTGTTTGTGTGTTTGTGTGTTTGTGTGTTTGTGTGTTTGTGTGTTTGTGTGTTGTGTTGTGTTTGTGTTTGTGTTTGTGTTTGTTTTGTGTTTGTGTTTGTGTTTGTGTTTGTGTTTGTGTTTGTGTTTGTGTTTGTGTTTGTGTTTGTGTTTGTGTTTGTGTTTGTTTGTGTTTCTGTTTGTTTGTGTTTGTGTTTGTGTTTGTGTTTGTGTCTGTGTCTGTGTCTGTGTCTGTGTCTGTGTCTGTGTCTGTGTCTGTGTCTGTGTCTGTGTCTGTGTCTGTGTCTGTGTCTGTGTCTGTGTCTGTGTCTGTGTCTGTGTCTGTGTCTGTGTCTGTGTCTGTGTCTGTGTATTTCTTCGAGTTGTTGTCCGTGGGTGTTTTTCATTAGATGTCCCTGGGGCCTGGGTTCTTTTGGTGACTTGTTGTCCGTAGGCTAGGGGTGTTGCTCTGTGAGATGTGGCCATGGGTCAAAATCCCGTACCAGTGAACATCCCAATCCCCACTAAAATAGGTTCTAACATGGGTGGTGAATTCACCTACCCCAAAATGGGATCCCATTGGTTTTGACCCACAGCCATGTAGTCCGTTGGCTTGGGGTGTGTTTCGTTTGGGATGTTGTCTGGGTGTGGCACACATGGCCGGGCTGTGCCGAGGCGCTCATGGCCTACTCGAACACCCTCTTTGCGCAAGCGGGAATCCCTGCCGATAGTCTGACACTGGCATCAGTGTTGCGCCTCGGTCTGGGCTTGGGGGCTTGGGGGCTTGGGCAATTGTTACTGAAGCAACCGGACCGTGGCCCCCATTTACGGGGAACCCGCAGGGAGAGTTCTTTACACAAAAGTCCCCCATTCTGTGGTTTCCCCTTGTAGATCTCAAACTACGGCACGGTTCGTGAATTCCCGTGAAGGACCCTCACCCATGCCAGATGTCCAGCGAATAGTTGTCATCCGTGATGTCCAGTTGCAGATCGTTACACCCCGTCGGAATGGGGTACAGTGGCATTTGTTGCGGCTTCACTCAAGGATCCCTCGCAGAAATCGGAAAAATCCGTCCAATAGGTTCAATAGGCGTTCGTGTTCGTCGCCATGTTCAGCATATTCTGGATTTGTTGCCCTTGTCACATGACGTTCATCTCAAGCCTGCAAAGAACCCTTGCAGGCTAGGGGAGAAAGAGAGGTCACATCAACGACCCATTTCTTATCGCTGTTGCTGCTTCCAGGGATGTAAAATGATTCAAACATCACAAACCATGCGCATCAATGATTCCATCACTTGTAAAGATTTGCCATGGAACACCCATGCTTTTCAGTCAGTGCAAACGCAGCGGTAAATCGGATCCCTTTGCAAACTTAAAATACTCATTGACACGTTGATGCTAGGAAGCATGAGGAAGCTCAAAATGAAAGGGTGTTGGTGCATGTGCTTCGTGGTGGTTCAGATAGTAATATCGTCACTCATTCAAGCAGGGCATCCACGACTATTTCAAGGATCACTGTTGACAAAATGGACAAACATCCGCAATGTATGTGTGCAATACAATGCTATATGGTGCAGTGTAATGTTATGCTATGCAGTGTAGCGTACTTGTATAATGTGTAGTACAGGAAAGTTAGTGTTATGCATACAATGCGTGCAACGTATGTACTGGATAAATGTAATGGTTCTATGCAATATAATGCAATATAGTCGTAATACAAGACAGTAAAACATGATATAATATATTGCAATGTACCATAGTATAACATAATCTCAACGCCGTGGCATGGCACGAAATGACGTAGGGGAATGTACCGCGACATACTGCAATGTACGTGATGCAATTGTATGCAACGTGTTGCGGTGCAATATGTATTCCAATGTAGTGCATTGCAACGCCATGTGCTGTAATGCAGCTCATGCATGCATGCATGATACGTAATATATGTTCCGGTAAATGTACAAGTATATTCACATGTGCGTATGTGCAAATGCATCTTATGTATCTATAAATGTGCCTTAGACGTACAGGGTTGTGTGTGTGTTGTGGGCTTTTTTTATGTATACGAATAGATGCACACGCATGTATACTTTTGCACAAAATGTCGCCACGTGTTTCGTTCCTTTTGTGTTTGCCATGTTGGCAGTTTACCGTGCACCATGCGCTCGCTGAGGATGTGTGTGGCGAATGTTCTCGTCTCTGCAGCTCTGCAAGAAGTGAATGTGGCGGACTGGGGATCACAGGTTCTCTTTGCTCAGCTGGCATTTTCTATCGCCCTACATGCACCCACTCATGCCCCCCCAAACAGAAATTCTCGCGGTGGTCAAATCCCCTCAACCGAAAGAGGACTATGAGGCCCTTGACAGCAATCGGAGTAATTCACACCGTTTGACATAAGGATGAGACCAGTGTATCACCTGCCACTGCCTGGTATTCAGAAGAAGGCTTCTTCCACATGCGATGGCAAAACGTATTGCTGCTGAACTGTTGGGCGCTTGTATATCCCACGATTGTTGATTGTCGTTCCAGGGCCACACGGTTTAATAAACAATGTCTTTTGTGTGGGGTTTCAAAATTATGGATTTAAGCTAATTTTTAATGTCCGACCCGTGCACTTAAGCCCTGCTCCTGTGTCTGCACCTCTGATCGGAGCACATGTCAGAACCGGGACACGGTTGAATGTTTTATTTTGTTTTGGGCACTCGTGAAAGCAATGCAAAAACCGGCTGCGCTACAGAAAGTGCATTTGGCAGCAACAATGGATGCAAACGCCTTCGTCAAAGTAATTCACTACTGGAAGGGCAGCCTGTCAAATCCTGTGGGGTCGCTGTGCTTTTTCTATTGATTGCTGAATTTATTCGGGGGCGGGGCAAAATCGCTGAGTCAAGAAATCCTTCAAAATCACGGATTTAAGGGGGCCCGTGTACTTAAGAGTCGGCCCGTTGTCTGAAACCACGGAACTTGCTTATTTTCAGAATTTGCAAGATTCGGTGGCTTTTTGTGTGACAAGAGCAAATTTTGCTGAATCATTGAGCAACCTTAACATGGTGGGACCGAGCCGTGACGCAATCAAAAACGTCGCATGTCAGAAGTGCACAATGTTGTTGTTTTTTTTTGCCAACTGTGGAGTGATGGCAAGGATTTGTGGGAATGCTGGATGATGGTTGACAGTTTATAGCTTAGAGTGAAGGCCGTGAGAATGGGGCTCGCTAAGCATATGGAGATGGTGCTGTAGTCAGGGCAGCTAGTACTCAAGTGGGAGCTCCTGCCTTGATCACCGGGCCACATTCCATAAGCACGGCCAGCCAAGAATGTTAGTGCAGCCAAATTTCGTTGAGTGCAGACAAAATTCCTTTAGCACGTGCAGAAAAAAGAGCGGTGCAGCCGGAAATTCCTCATGCGCAGCCGAAGTTCCTTGATTGCACCCCCCCCCCCCGAATTTAAGCCCAAATAGCCGGCAGCCAAAATTCCTTAAGTGCAGCCAAAATTCCTTAAGTGCAGCCACCATTTCCTTAAGCGCAACCAAAATTCCTTAAGTGCAGCTTAAATTCCGTAAGTGCAGCAAAATTCCTTAAGTGCAGGGTTAATTAGCTTAAATTCAGGGGGGGGGGTGCACTTAAGGGTTTTGGCTCCTGCTCGAGATGAATCTGGTGGTGAATTTAGTGGTTTTAGATGCTGAAACAGCGCTTTTGAGCCCCGAAAACCCTTAAATTCACCACCAATTCATCTCGAGCAGGGTCAACATCCTTAAGTGCACCCCCCCCCCCCTGAATTTAAGCTAATTAACCCTGCACTTAAGGAATTTTGCTGCACTTAAGGAACTTTGGCTGCACTTCAAGAATTTTGGCTGCGCTTAAGGAATTTTGGTTGCGCTCAAGGAATTTTGGCTGCACTTAAGGAATTTTGGCCGCACTTATGGAATTTTGGCTGCCGGTGACTTAGCTTAGATTTGGGTGGTGCACATAAGGAATTTGATCCGCCCTTTAGCCGCACTGAAGGCATGTTGGTTGAGTTTTGCACTAAAGTTTTGTTGGCTGGGCCCAAGTAAAAGTCACTTGCGTTGCGGCGTATGTTGAATCTCAAGCCGGCAGAGCAAAAGTCGTGAGAATGCTGGTCTCACTGTAAAGGCACGTTGCGTGACAGTAAATTTGCATCGTCTCTTGATAAATGGGCTCAGTTGTTGATGTTCCCACGCCACTTTGTTTGTACGGGGCTGCCTTTTTTTGACCTTGCAACGCGTGAGTACATTTTAATTTGATATTGGGCCTTGCTGCACTGAATTGCTTGGATCCATGGGTGTTTCCGTGGGGGTTCTGAAGAAGGCTGTTGCTGAAACTGGGGTATGTGCCGCGTTTTTCATTGCTGACCTCGCCAGATCCGGAAAACATGTCTATCCTCACCAATTGTTCACACCCTGCTTCAATCGGGCTAAACGCGCCAGAAACGTGCTTAAGTGCAGCGGGCGACCTTGATAATTTGCATAAATCCGTAATTAGCCCCCCACAAACTGACTCCTTGAAATGGTCTGGTGTGTGCCACCCACAGTTTATACTGATTTTGCTCTGGTTTGCAACATGTGTGATCTGAGTCAGAAAATGCCCAAAACAACACATTCACCGGGTGTGAGTTTCAAAGGCTCAAACAAGGCAATGACATCAAGTCCGTATTTTGCATTGTTCCAAAAATACATAGCCTTTTCGGGCAGTCCAGCTTCGAAAACACACAAGTTTGAAAATCATTGGGTTTCAGCAACACTGAAAACTGCCCCACCCTTCAGTACACGGGCCCCCCCTTAAATCCATAATTTTGAAAGCCAACAGTCTTTTGCCTGAGCCTTTTTTGGTCCAACTAAGGTCCAAGTTTGGTAACCAAGGCTCAAATTTGGTCCAAACTTTAACTAATGTTTTATCTGGTCCAACTAAGGTCCTGAGTACCAAGTTGGTGGACAGCCTTGGTCGACGCACGTTGCTGCTGTGGGGAAGCGCGACGCAGACCGTTGCCATGGCTGCTTTGATGGAACTCAGCATGTTCTGGTGAGTGCACCAGCGTAATCACAGTTCCTTTTATGTAGGTGCTCGTAAAGGGCGTAAAGGGGAAGACAAAATCGAAATTGGAGAATTGTGCCATCTATTCTTGCCAAACTGCAACAAGGATGTCCTCCGGTGGAGAGAACGAGAGGGCTGGAAGTTTGTTTTTTCTTCTTGACCACCCTGTTTACCTCCCAGTATATAGAGTTAACTTTTAGTAGCAAGGCTGCCCTTTGCCAGTGTTGCTCTTTGCCTCTGATACAGGGCAAACCATGAGTCAACCATGGCCATGTGACCAGGGTACAGGTTACACTTTGTAAAATGCACTCTTGATGCTCGAGTGTTTTCTGCGGGGATCTTTGACCAAAGAACATTTGGGGTTTTGCGAAGTAGACAGACATGTTCAACTTTCGGCTTCTTTGGAGACATATGGCTGAGGGCTAGGTGCGTGTGAGCAATTGACCAGAGCAACTGTCAATATGTATTCGAGTCTATGGTTCTGTGGTTATACTATGAGGGGGCAGAAGCTTGTTATGTACCAATTTGAAAAAGCAAGTCATGTGGTCCGTTGCTCATGTCACGTTCACCTTCGAGCCTTCTAATCTGTCCAGAGCTCAGGCCTCCATGGTCTACGTGGTACACATGATGCGCCTAGGTTCAAGCACTGTTGCCCAATCGCTCCATGCTGTGTAACGGCGGTATGTAGCCGACAAGGGAGTTGGGGTACAGCACTAGGGCTACAACCTGACGCTTGGGCTGTTTCCCAGTAGAGTGTGCTGTGTTTGATTGACCCCACACGAAAAATGAGAATCAAATCCCAGTCCTGGTCACTTGCGAGATTCAAATCTGTCAGCACAGGTTTTCGGGGGGGGGGGGGGGGGGGGGATGTTCCTTCAATCCGTTGCTTTGTGATTCATTGCATCGCTCAGTCCTGTGCCAATTTAGCAGTTTCCTTGTCGGCGGGGAGTTTTACTCTGCCCTAAATTGGTCAGACCCCACTTTCTTCACCGCTTTTTGGAGCATATCACAAAACCGGCCAACTGAACCCCTGAATCGAGACACACTAGCTGACCATGATGTCCAAGCAGTTGTGTTTGCAAAGTCCCATCCATTTGCATGGGCTCCAACCGATTTTGCTTTCTCATCCCTTTGCTAGGGGACAGTCCCACCCTGAAACAGTGTCCGCCCCCTTTCATGATGTGTTTTGGCTGTATGTTTTCACTACGAGGCTTTGATTATGACTCCCTTCGTTTCCACTCGAGCCCGCTCCCTTTCCCTTCACAGATCCACAGCTCAAGGCCTCGGTCATCTCAGGGATTGAGCGCCTTCATTTTCTTTAGCGCCGCCCTCAGCTGCAAGGAGACTGTCGGAAGTGGTTCAAAGATGTACGATGCTGTACGATGCTGGATTCAAACACATTGCCGTGCGGCTGAAGAGACTGGCTGCTGGGACTTTTGTGCAAATTGATCATGCGCAATGTTGAGCCGAAACGAGTGCCCAAAGGCGTTTTGGCCATGACCTTTCTTGAAGATTTCCCTTTTTGCGAACTTTCAAAGTTAACTTTCACATAGCAACCTAGAAACCACCTTCTTCCGTTTCATAGGAACCACCTTGTTCTGTTCTCTTTCATAGGAACCACCTGATTTTGTTTCCCCTAGGAACAACCTGATCTGTACTTTTTGCCAGGCCTCTTCGTGGTGTCCTGGAACTACGGCCTTGGCGCCATCACGTGGCTGTGGCTCTCAGAGATCTATCCCATGGAGATCCGAGGATCGATTCGTCCCCAAATGGATGGCTCGTCTTTCTTGGAGTGCCCCCAAAAAACTGATGTCGTTTGTTTTCCTGTTGGTTTCCCTTTCACAGAAACACAAGAATGGGTACCCTCTGAAAAGACGAGCCGCCCATTTCGATCCGAACGGGGAGCCCCCAAAATCTCGGTTTCCCTTGCTATTTCTGGGAACGTGTCCACCTCCACAGCCACACCAGAACGGGACCGCGTGGTTGATCAATAGGCTCGAGGGTTCAACCCCTGGTTGATGCAGCGGGTGGCCCAGTTTCGACATCGGTGGCCGGGGGGGTTCAAAAATGGACGGCCAATATGGCGTATGCCATGTTGGAACAAACAAAGGCCGTGAACACAAGGGCACGTCATGAGATTTGTGCTGGGCACCTTGTCTTGACAACCAAAATGACGGCCCGTGGGATGTCCATTTGGCTCAGATATCTGCAGTCAACGCAGGATCAAGAGCTTGAGTAATTCTTGCAAGTTTCACCGATTGATTTGAATTCGGGGGTAGCTTACGCTTGCTGAGGTGAGGATTGTGCAAGTGTGTCCTTGCTTGCTGAGTGCTTCCTATTAGGATCGATGTTTGTTCTGTTTTTTTTTGTTTGCTTGGTGTTTCCAAGAAATGGAACCATGCTTGCTGCTAGGTTCTTAAGGGCAGTAAAGATGACCCACCAACAGGATGGCATTTGCTTTTTTAAGACACACATCGTTTTCTTGTATTTCTCAATGCCAATTTCTCTTTTTTTCCAATCATGGGATCGCCAGATCCACGCTGGCACGCTGATTGCTCTCGCCAGGACCAGCACTCTCTGCTTGTGGGGTGATCAAGTGGCTGAGCTGCTTCTTCATTGTGCTCATCGCTCGCTTCTTGCGACTTGGCATCTTTTGGGAGGACTACAAGCGCGGGCCCAAAACTTTGCTGAGCTGTTTTAGTAGAGGCCCTACCCTGCCCAAAGGAGATTAGTAAGTAGGGTGAGGCCAACAAGGACCTTGACAACCATCGTGGTGGAAGCAAAACAAATTAAATGGGTTCTGGGTGTTTGTTCGCCTCAGACCATTCTCAAAAGTCTGTATCGAAAGTGAAGATCTTGCACCCTCGAGCTCAGGAACCTGCATTCCTCCTGCGTGCTCTTTGGTGCTGGCCCGAGTTGAGATGCGGTTGATTCCGTACATGTTGCGAGCATCCCTTCGAATACCTATGGCTTATTTACATGCAATATCTAGGGATTCAACCGCACAGATTCAGATGCGCTTCATGAATGCAAGATGGCATCGCGTTGCATTGACACTCATGCTGCAGCCAAGTTCATCCTGCAAAGATCCGGGACGTTGAGTAGAATCTAGGTTATCATTGAGTTTCCTCAGGTGTGCGCTTCCAGTTTCTCAGCCAAGCAACTTCATGGCCGAGTGAGCGGCATCACTTTCATACAACCAAGCATCCGATCGAGCCAGAGATTTTGCACTAAGCGCATTCGCCAGCGACAGACTCTCACCCTTGCAAAGCAACTGTTTGCTACAAATCCCAGCGGCTATGTCTGTGCGTGCGCGCTTATAGATATCTAGATGCATGGTGCACACACAGGTCTATCTCTTTGTGTGTGCATAATATATTGTATGTTCCACACATCGGATACACAAGTTACAGTGGTTACGTAGGTTGCACGGGGTCACCCGGTGCCATGTCGCTGGCAGCGCCATCTTGCCGCGCGTGCACCGCACGCGCGCTTCCGCGGGGGGCTGCTCCATACGGTTCCGCACGATGGGGCCTGGCCGAGGTGGGTGCCGCTGACCCATCCAAATTGGATCAACCAGTACCCTTCCTACCACCAACATGGCACTTGAGGGAGGGTACCTGGAAGACAGTTTCCTCTTCAAGAAACCAGCTGTCTGGCTTAAACCGTGCGGGTTCCACCATTTTGAGACATGTTGAATGTTGAGCCCGGACCCAAAGTTAATACGGGGCACCCTCACTTGAATGGTGACCATTTCCCTTAATTCGGGAAGATGTGGCGCATTGCGATTGTGTCAATCCAGGTGCGAACTGCTAGTTCCCATTGCTTCAACTGTGTGTCTTTCATGTTGGTGTTCAGTGAAATATTCATCTTTGGCAGGCTTCAAGTTGTTTCCGACCGTATTGGTCGGGAAATGGTCAGGTTAGTTGGTGTTGGTTGTCCCTGTTGGTGTGAAGTGACGTGGTCAAGTACATGTTGTTATTCAAGGAAAATGATTCTGATTGGTGACCACGGTATATTTATTGTGTGGCGGCAACTCTAGGCCCCCCCTGAGATTTCAACGCCTCACCCTAAATTGAGGCCCTTCAGGTATACCCTCCATGAATGTATGGAAGGGGGAAAGCCATAGATGTGTGCAAGGGGTCCCGCAATTTTCCCAGAACCCTGTTGGCAATGTCAACATATCCTGTTTTGTCTATGGCAATGCGGGGGGCGGGGACATGGGGAACTCACTAAATTTCCACAAAATCTGGAAAACATCAAGTCTACAAGCTAGCACTGGCTGTCATATTCTGACCAGGCTTCACTTGTCGCCTCGTTCGATGGAAGGCCGGGAAGGCCTGCCTCCCCTTGGTCGCCGGAGTCGCCGCCTTCTGCAGAACTCAAAGCCGGCGCTTGGTGCTGTCGGTGAGAGCGCGGCAAGTGCGACAGGCAAGCTCGGGACAAGCAACTTCGCCCCACCACATGACCAAGAGTTATGCACTCAAGGGCAGTTGCGTAGCTAAAGCAGGCGGTATCCTTTCCTTGCAGGGAGCAACCACGGTGCACCCTCAGTAAAAAGAGCAACTACGGCCCCACCCCATTCGCCCACTTGCATAACTAGAGACGAAAGACTTGTTTTTTTTGTTTGGGGCCGCCATGATGCCCAACAAAGAGTAGGTAGAGTACGTACCCGTTAGCCTCCACCTCAAAGGAATCCAGGCAGCCGCGGGTGTCCGCAGCATTCCCTAGAACCGGCTTTTCCAGTTCTGTGCCACCCCTTGTCCTTCTCTGCGGATTTTCTTGGAAGCTCACATGCAAATGTTTTTTTTTGCCTCACACCTGCTTGGAAAGCACTTGCTCACAGGAATCGGAGCAGGAGCGGCGGCGACTTGACCAGGAAGCCCGGGAGGGCATGGAGGAGTACATGCGCCGCATCGAGGAGTCGGAAAGGGGAAGCGGGCAACGAGACAGGGGCCTGGTTTGGTTTTTGAACTTGGGGCACTCTTTGGTTCGACCGATTCTTTGCGGGTTTTTTGACTTTGGGAGCGGCATATGACAGTCCGACCAAAACTCAAAGATTGAGCCGCAACGAGTTGATCCCTTTGGGAGCTGCTTCTTGTCCGCAGGAGCTCGCGGGCGAAGGCAACATCAGGGCGCAGAAGACGGTGCGCTGGCTTCAAGTTGGATGCTATTTCCAGCACCAAGCTGTCGTAGGTGGAGAGAACCTCACTTCTATTGCTTGTCCGTTGTTGAGTCTGCCATTTTGGGGGGTTTAAGAGTAGGGACCACCCACCAGGAATTTCTTTGGGGTGCACCGTTTTGAGACAAATATGTTCCCGTTTCCCAGTGAAAAATCTAGGGATTGATTCCCTTCTTTCCAACTTTCGTTCTTTTCAATCACCGGCCGTTTTCCCTGGGTTTCCGGAGGTTTTCTGGAAAGATCCGGATGCCTGGAATGGGGGAGGTACCCCTAGAAACAAATCGGGGCCTGGCCATGGCTCACAAACACTGGGCCATAGCGGGCGGAGGCGTGGAAGTGGGATCTCCGGAAGCAAGTCTGGAACTACCTCGAGGCAGGGTCCCCCGCCCCAGCGAAATGGGCGCGTCCTTTTTCAACGGGGGGACCCCAAAAATGGGTGGGTTGTCTTCTTGGTTTTGCTTTGAAACCAAAACAAAGGGGTACCCTCGCCGATTTTGTTTTGGGGGGGCGAGGGAGGTTGGATTGGACAAGAGGAAGCCAATGCAACGGCTGTTCGGCTTGAACACACTTTCAATTGAATCCACCATGCAGCAAATGAGTACTTCACTTAGCGCCCTCCCCCCGTCTTTGCGCAAGAGTTGGCCAAGTTGTGCGCCAAAGAGTCGGCTTTGCGCCCGAAGAAGGTTGACGAAGAACATGCTGGCGGCATATTGGACTCACCAGCAGCCAACCCTTCAAAGCGACTAGGCAACCTGCGCCGTAGCCTTTGTGTTTCTCAGTTGTAAAGCCAAGTCGAGTTGGCGCAAGGATCCGCTTTGCTCTCCTCTCATAGAGTTATGCTGCAAGATGTGCTTTGCCGGGGTATCGCTTGACCACTTACCTGAGTGACTTGCCCTCATGTTCCAAGCAAGACAACGAACAAAGTATCCTCAGAAAAAGGGCGGGCCAGCAGGATCCAAATTGTGATCCCCAAAATCTGTTTGGCTTCTTTCTGTGAAACAAGCCGCCCTTTTGGGGCGGCGGAGAAGCCCAACAAAGGTTTGATTTGCCACACCCCCAACTCCCGCTCACCCTGGGAGAATATATCATGTCCTGTTTGCCGTTTTTTGGGGGCGCTTTCTCTTGTCCAACCACCCCCCCTCCCCCAGTTTTTGACGAGGGTTTTCCTTTTTTGTGGTTTCAAAGCAAAACCAAGAGGACGACCCACCCATTTTATTTTTTTTGGGGGGGGTCCCCTATTTTAGGACAAAGTGTTTTTTGGTATTTTTCCCCTCGGAGGGCGCGCCATGTTTTTGTTTGGTCAGGACAACGGCCTGGCGGACTTCCCACGGCCGGTGCACCACCGCATCCCCAACTTCCAGGGCTCCTCCAAGGCCGGGGAGCGGCTCGCGGAGCTGCCGGAGTTCACCGAGGCCAAGGTGGTGAAGGCCTGCGGCCCGCCGGGGGGGGGGGGGAGGCGCGGGGCCACCGGGGCCCAAAGGACATGTGGGGCTCCACCTGTTCCTGGAGGATGCCTTCCTTTTTTTGTTTGAGGGTGGTTAAAACAGAAAGCCTAAAAGGAAGACCTACCCACCAGTTTGGGGGGGGGGTCATGACCGACGAACCGTGTTCAAAGGGGTTCCCCAAAAGTCCACTTTTACAGCCGCAGGTTTGAGGGAATATTCTTCCCCGCAATGTCAAGAGAGACATCCTGGCCAAAAAGTCCCACAGCAGGAGCAGCGCCCGCAACCCTTGTAGGTGCTGTTTGTACGTGGTTCCTCTGCTTGGTCTTACGAGGCGTCACAGCAGCGTTTAAAGGCAATATGGGTCTTTGATTGAGTTGGAGACTTTTGGTGGACATCATTCACATTGAAGCTTCGTGCCCCAGCAACCCGGTTTCAAAGTTTCTCCAAGGAAATCATAGCATAAACCTGTACCATCATCTTGGTACCAAGGCTCAATGTGTTTGGGGCGAGAGGTGAACCCGGACACGCCGCAGAAGTCGGTGCGCCTTGCGACGCTGCGCTCAGAGAAGACGCTCTACGTACCGCAGCCGCGGCTGCGTGCCTGGGCTGCGCTTTCGTGGCCTTTTACCTGCCAGTGGGCGTGGAAAAGTGGCTAAAACATCCCCACCCCTTAAAAAATGGAAATTGGGGGGAGGGGGGTGACCCCTGGAAATCCATTTCTGGTGCCATTTTCACTTGTATTGGGAAGACTAGAGAAATGGAATTGGGGGCCCCCACCCCCCTCCCCCCTACAGCAGGGGGGATGCTGAAACGAGCCGACCTTAGTCAATCCTTGGCCATTCCAAAACAGAAGCCACATGGAGGCTGGCTACAGAATGGTAGTTTTGAACTAGCTGCCAAGGAATTGTTTGATGCCATGAGATTGCCTCCTTCCCTGTGCATAGAGTTGCGCAGAAATGAGTTTGGGGTTGCCACTTTCCATGCTTGGCAAGCCCCTGCAAAGTGGCATCCTTTGTTGACGAGGAACTCAAGGGAGACGTCGTATGTTACTGCTATGAGAACGTGTTTGATATTATTAACATACATCCAGAATGGTAGAAGCAACACAATCATGCTGGTGGATAAATCATGTTGCGAACTATATCATATTGTGCTACTTAGTTTTCGGATTCTTACTCAGTGGTTTGCATGTTTCTATGGTGTTATCTTGTTCATTGTTAATTGGTCTTTGAAGTTACTCCGCTTTGGCATCGCAAAGAGCTGATTTTCCAAGAAA